TACACTTACACTTCATTCATTCTAAAGTGGCAGTTTGGAAATATAATATTAAAATAGTGTTTTTGTTAAATCATCAGAGCAGTTTTTGTGTATGCATGGAGAAAATGTTTAAGTAAAACTTTCCTCATATATTTCCTGGAATTTAAACATGGCTAGTTTAATGATCGACCACTATCTAATACAGAATACCAAGTATATGAATTATTTATTGGAAGGAGGGGTTATCAAGTTTAGTCCCAAAAAAGAGGAGGGGTCATTGAGAGTGCTATATGCTGAAAAGAGGGGTTATACACGAAATGGTCTTTGAAGCTATATAATCACCCACCCCCCTCCTGGCTGTAAATAATGAACGCTCCCTAAAACAACACACTCAAGACATTGCTACCACCTTGGTCACTTAACTGAGAAAAGGGAATTTTTTAAAAGAGAGTGGTCGATTAGCGGACGAATTCGTCCGCATGCCTGTTAAAGGGTTAATGCCCATCGCCCGCCCCAACCGCCCCTAATAAATGCAAGCCAGCAATGCTAGGTAAGTCACACGATAAGAAATCGACTACTAACGCATGAAGCGGTTTGCCCCGGTTAACTTGATGACGTCTTCTTTTGTTTGCCCCTTTGAGGATTTCCTTTGAGGAACACAAACAAAAGAATTCAGCCCGATCAAACTATCAATGAAATTATAATTTTCTCTTTCAAATTTCAACACGACTGAAACACACACTCTTGAGAAAACTGTGTTTTTGTAAGGAATTAAAACTAACTCTAGTAGGAAATCCTTTTTTCTAGATTTATGAGCAATTCAATTCCGTTTCAGCTCAAGTCGATGGCAAATCAGTTTCCTGCTGATACGGGAAGTTTTAAGCGACGTTTATTATATAGGCGGAACTTTTTTTCAACATTTTGCTAATTTAGAATAAAGTTTAAATTAAACAAGTGTACAATATAATAATATGATCAAATAGATGGTTGTAGGTTGGTCTATTCATGATAATTTAAAGCTAAAATTTTGTTTACGTAGTCGAGCTTTAGACTCACCGAGTCATTATCAAGACTGATGAAAAAACGTTACGATTTACAAAACAACATAAAAACAATGAGTGTACAATAAGTTCATAACGTAAAAGGGCTAATTATTAGAACTATAAACCAAGAAATTAAAGTTTGAGGTCTGAACGTGCAATAATAGCTTATGACATGTTATGAGATATTTATAGCGTTCAAAGACTAATGTCAAAAGCTAGCGCTCTCAAAAAAATGGAGTCTTTAAAACAGTTTGACGCAGAAACTATTTCATATTGGAAGCTCAAAAGTGACATTGTGTTTCTATATTAGTCTTATAATATTCAGTGCTGATTTACTGATAGTAGGTACATATGCTTATGCTAATGATATGCTAATGAATCGAAACGTCAACAAATTATTCGACCTATTCTCAGGCCGCATTTTTGCTTCTTTGAGAATTATACATTCAATATGAAAATTTCACTTAGACCGGATCAACTTTAAAAAAAATATTGTCCAAGAAATAGAGCGCTTGCAATGACACACCGTTAGTCAGCAGTTCAATCGACTCTTCCTTTGTCTTTATGCATTCGTATTTCCCTGAATACATAGTCCTGCAGCACACATCCTATTTTCCACTGAATTAACTAAAATTGATCAGCTCCGGGCTGTACACATACACCGTCTAGAACAGAAAAAAAAAATTAATTTAGGCCGATGCCATGGGACAGCAACAATGGCTGATAGGGAATGTTCATGGACGGCGGAAGCACAAAATTATTTTTTTGGGGTGGGGTGACTAAAATAGTGAATAAATAGTGAAAGTCAGATTATCTATTCAATTAGTACATACGAATTAACACTTCTATTTCAAAGTTGAAAATTGTGGGGGAGGGGAGGGAAGGGCTGAAATTATTGGTTTCCGCCGTCCATAATGCTTGAAGTTAACTTGGTATGTTTATATTTAGGAAAGTGTGTCGTTCGTTTATTTAAAGACTTACCAGATTCATATTCACAAATGATAGCGTATGGATTAGTCCCATCCTCATCAAACCACATTCCATCGGACGTCATGACACCAAAGTTCCCTTGGCCTGATGGTTGACCATTTGACCAATGACTTGATGTTACAGGAATGTCATTGGTCCATTTCCAAGAACGTCCTTCCTTCTTTAAACCAATGTACCATTTATTTTCAAACTTATTACTAGCTAAACGAATCATGCTTTTGATGTAACTTCGTTCACCCTCTGTTTCCATGACAACTAAACCACCTTTATTAAAGTCACTGCAGGTTTCTTGGCCTTCGTTCCAAGTGGAGCCTTTCAACCTCATTGCATAGCAAGATTTCCCTTTGTACTTTTCAAACTCCTGTGGTGGTGGTCCTTTAATGACTTTAAAAGAAGCAAACTTAAAAGTAAATTGGTACGTTAACATAAAATAACCGATCTATTCTAGTTCAGAGTTTCGTGATGGCCTCACGGGACGACTAGGCTTTGACACAATTTGCTCTTTTATCATTGCATTCCGGTTATTCGAGTTTGTTTTCAAATCGGGTAAAGCATGATGTCTCCTGCTGCTAGCTATGGGTACTATGAAAAGTCATGTTCATATACTGAAGGAATAACACGGTTCATTCGNCAGCGTCAGTTTTGTGCAATATGTGAATGAATATCTCCAGATGTATAAATGCTTATGCCAAGTGGATTCAATCTTACGCTGAATTTATAAGCTTACAAGGTACTTTAGTTTTCTCCRTAACAATCGGAGTCAACATCGTTTTGATCCGAAATATAAATAATGCGTCACATCGGCAAAACAATAGGTAAATCAAAATKCAATTTGAAACAATATTTCGTAGGATCAACTATTTACAGRCTTTGCAGGGATCCAAATCAAAATCACAAAAGAACTACAAATATCGTAAATTACCTGCAGATGAAGCTGTCGGGGTGGCAGCAGCTGTACTACCTTCATAAAGAAGATAATCACTAAAGGTTGTCTGATATTTAATAACCGTAAGTTTTGAACGAAAACTTGCCACAGAAAGTAACAAAAACAACAACAACAAAAACAATAGAAAATACAGACTGTCAGTGCTTCTGTGTCACATAACGCGATGTCAAAGAGAATAAGATATAAATAATAACAAATCAATTCTATTTTTTTCCAAAGTTCAGAAAAACCACCATGAAAATATTTCTTGGTGCCTTCAAGGAAATCAGTTAAAAGCTCGGAGTTGTTTTGAGAATCGTTAAAGTTAATAAAGTCTTGATAATTCCGAAATGCATGGCCGCGTATGACGTCTACTAAGGAATCATAGTTCTCACGTCGCTTGATATATCCACTATGAATTGTTGAAAGTTGGCTTAAGGTGTTTATAACAAAAATGAATATCTTCGAATCTTCACCATTTCCTCTGAAAGCATCCGGAAATGCGAGAGACGATTCCTTAGTAGACGTCGCATTCGCACTGCCAAGCCCCTGATTTCAAAGAGAGCGCATTTTTCCGAACTGGCGGGAATATCAAAATAACGTTGAACTTTGGGAATTCATCAAATTCATCCAAATTTGTGCGGGAAGTAACTATTTCAATAGGATAGATTATCTTAGAATTTGAAAACAAATGGAGTTCAAAGATGATACGTTGGCAAAGACGATTGCGTGTTTTACCTGCAGGAGCTGTTGTAGTACTAGATGAAGGTGGAGCAGGAGTTGTCTTTACACCTGAAACATCTAAAGGAGGTGGATAATAAATGCATGATTTGATTACGTGATTGACGGAAGAATGATAGATGGATGGATGCCATGATTGGATGGATGATTGGTGAGTTGTCAGTTGTTATAAGGATGTTGTTGTCAGTTGTTGTAAGGATGGATTATAGCGTACTTGGAGACTTGCCGGGTCCTGTAAACAAAGGAAAAGCAAACTATAATATAGACTCGATAATACAGAGATAAAAATATCAAATTTAGTGAAAACACCACGGGATTAGTACACTAAATTGCTTTTAATTCTCCCTCCCTCTCTTTCTCTCTCTTTCTCCCTGCAAATGTTAAGAAAGAATAAGGAATTACCTCCTTCTGGGAGGAAGCACCATGTCCTCCCTTTTGATTCAAAGAACTGCACTGGCTCGTCCATAAACATATCGTCATAACAACAGCCTGCGGCCAGGCACTCATCAGGAGTCACAAATGGGGCCTTCAGTTTGTCGTTACAATCCTTGCGATCAGCAGAGCGAATATTGCAAGAGGGTTCTGTAACAAATGAATAATTGTTGAAAGTCGATAGAAATGTTGAAAGAAAAGGAATACGTGGAATATCCCGCCATGGCTGCCCCATCAAGTGATGACACGATTCAGGCTTTTTGATGGTTGATGGGTTGGGAACTGTCTGGATGATTTTTCAGAAAGAATTCATTCTCTTGGAAATATGTAAACAAATATAAAGATTGAAGTTTAAGAACACTCCATAACAGGAGTAGTATACCTGGTCCTTTGCGAGCCAACACATTTTTTGGTGCCAATTCATAGTAGTTCGAATTAGCATGTGAGGCAGGAGCATAGTGTGCAGTCACATATGTGCCATCGCCTTCCTTGATATTCAATCCACATCCAAGCTTAGTCTCGCTCTTCCAAACAACTGCCATGAAATGACCAACTGCCTGGCCATTTCCTTTACCAGTTGCGTAATTGTAATCGTTTTTGATCTCTGAATACCAACTTCTTGTAGCACCAGGGATGGCTCCTTCATACTTGTCCATGCCTTCCCAACCCCAGCCTTTCCAGGAAATACTCTCAGTAAACTTGTCTGTCCACTTTGAATGGT